GGTCTGGGGGGGTTTGGGGGCCATCCTGTGCCGGGGCTGACCCCAGGCTCTGCCCGCAGGTCGTAACGAGCTGATCGCCCGCTACATCAAGCTGCGAACGGGGAAGACACGGACAAGGAAGCAGGTGAGGCTCTGCTCTGCTTTTTCTCCTGGGGTGGGCTCGGGGCTGGGTGGGAGGCCGTGCCAGGTAAGCCCGAGGGGGAGTGGATGTCCGACTGCATGCTTGTCCTCTGTCCTCTCCTCAAGCCGCTGCTGCTGCCAGCAGGTTCCCCTTCTGCGAGGAGCTTCGCCTGTGAGCACAAAACGCCTGGGGTTTCTTCTGGGGTGTGAAGACAGGCAGCACCCAGGTTCCCCGCCTGGTTGGGGTAACCCTGTGGGTGGCAGGAGCCCTCAAAGTCTCTCTGGGCAGTGTGTGTGTGTGTCTGTGTGTGCCTGCATGGGTCTCTCTGCTGTGCCTTCTGGCTCTGGGGACTGTGCCTGTCTCTACCCCTTGCTAGGCTTTATGCCACTTGTGTCAGGTGCCACAGCAAAGGCACTCCAAACCCCATGGGCTGAGAGCAAGACATCATTATCCCAGCCAGGGACCTGGGGACCAGCTGTGTGGAGCTGTGGTGCTGGTCCTGGTGGGGCTGGAGGCATCACAGAGCCCTTGCCTTGCTCTCACCTCCCTGCCTGGTTGGATGCTGGGGCAGGCAGAGCACAGGCAGGGATTCCACAGCAGGGCAGGAGCACACAGAAGTCCCTGCAAGCCCTTGCTTCACCAAACCTGTCTGAGGAGTGGGCTGCTGCAGCCCATGAGGGGACATGTCCCTTTTTCATGTGTCCAGTGGCTTTTCCCTCATGGTGGCCCCCCGCCAGGAGCCAGGCCACCCATCCTGATGGAGCCCATGACCTTGGATGCCTGGGAGCATCTCCCACCACAGGGACATCGTTGGGTTTGGGACTTATCTTATTATAAGATTTATAATAAGATTTGGGACTTATTATAAGAATATCGTTATTCTGGGACTGTTCTGTGCCACAAGTTCCTACAAGAGAGGAACACTGGTCCCCAGACACCACAGAGGTCATTCCTCCAGAACTTTTGGTGAGAGGAACCAGGGTCTGGCCACTGGTTTTTTGTTCAGACCAGTGCCAAGCAGCGCTTCATTTCTGGCTTAAAGTCTTAACTGGGCCCCCCTTCCATGGGGGAACAATGCAATGCTCTGGAGGGACTCAGGAAAGGCGTGGGAGAGAGCACCCATTGCACTGATCCTTCTGTGCAGTTGTGTCCTGGACAGCCTGGTGTCTCCTCATGGACAGCCTGGCACTGGTGGGAGCAGGTTCTTGCCAAAATCAGCCCTGAAGGCCTGTGGATGCTGTGCCTTTACTACCTGGATATCAGCCCCTTTTCTTTAGATCTTGCTCTTACAGGGGCCTGGACACAATAAACCCAACCTTTCTCACCTTTCCCACATGTAAAACCAGCAGGAGTCCTGGTGGGTATGCCAGTCCCTCCTGGACCCGCAGGCCGAGTAACCTGGGGTACCTCAAACATGCCAGACTGTATCATCAACTTCTGGTGCTCACAGGGGCTGGCAGGGTCTGTCTGTCTGTCCCCAAGAGGTGCTAAATGGGAACCCCCTCAACTGCAGCAGCTTTACACCAAGGAGCTTCACCCCAGCCTGGGGTGGGCTCAAACCAGCATCAACACCAGGGTGCCCCACAACTTTCCTTCCTCCAGCTCTTGGCGGATGCAGGACCCTGAGCATCTCCAGGAGCAGCCAAAGCGCTCCCCCATTTTTGGTCACTCCCTCCCCCGGGGACAGCATCCCGCCCTGCAGGGGGAACGGATCTTCACGCTCTCTGTGTTTTCCTTTCCGAACGGCGTGGCGGGCGCTAGGTGTCCAGCCACATACAGGTTCTAGCTCGGAAGAAGGTGCGGGAGTACCAGGTTGGCATCAAGGTACGTTGACGCCCTTGCCCAGGTGTCCGCGGCGGTGTCTCTGTGAGCATGGGCAGCCCCTCTCCTTCCTCCTCCTTTCCTCTGGTTGACGGCTCTGCTGTTCCCCCTCTCCTTCTGCTCTCTCTCTGCAGGTCTCTAGCCACTTGCAGGTTCTTGCCCGACGGAAATCTCGTGAGATTCAGTCCAAGCTGAAGGTACGCCCTGCCTCGCCTGGCCCCCGCCTGCTGACGACTAACGCACTTGCCTCTGCGGTGTGCTGCTTGCTTTCCTGTTTTGCCTCTCTTCTTTTTTTTTGTGTTTTTTTTCTTCCCCCTCACTTGGCTCCTTGGATCGGATGGTTTTTACAGTCATTGTGGGATGCCCAGAGAGAAGTGCAAGGAGGGGCAGCAGAGCCCTTCTCTTTCCTCCAGGAGGGTGAATGTGGGTGCCAGATCCCTTCTTTGCATCCAGTGAAGGACTCTGCCATGGGCAGATGTGGGTTTAAAGCCTCCTCTGGTGATGCACAAGGGCTGCTCCCTCTTTTGGGCCGTCAGGGGTTCTCCTACAAGGAGAAGGGCTCCCCAGGGCAGCCAGTGAGGCCCACTCCCCTCCACAACTGAGACCTGACCCAGCTCAGAACTGGTGCTGGTGCCATGTGGGCAGAAGCAGAAGGGGCCCCAGGAGTCCCTGCAGGTTGCCAGCCCAGTGGCTTGTGGTGCACCCGGGTGTGAGCACAGCCCAGGGGCACCACAGGGATGTGAGTGGCAGCAGGTCCAGCTGGGGCCATGCTGCTGGGGGCAGGGGCATACTGCCAGGAGCCAAGGGAGCCAAGTGAGAAAAAAATGGATCATTCTCTCTTTTCTGGTTGGCTTTTCTTTTCTTCCTTCCTTCTTCCCTTCCTCCTAACTGAAGCCAAACTAACCTTTCCATAACTGTTCCCACAAAACTTTGTGGTGGCAGTGGGGAGGGGGATGGTGGGGGGACATGGGAAGGACTTGGGGCATCAGCAAAGGACCAAGTGATGTGAGGTGGGGGACAGAGAGGTCCCCACTGCACATCCACCCACTGAGGACAGCCAGCTCCTGCCATGTGCCTCAGTTCTCTGCACTGTCACACCAGGGAGCATCTCCTTGGGTAGCTCCAGGGCTGATTTACTGGCTTGCTGTTTGAGTGGGAGCCCAGAAAATCTTTCAGCCTGCTCACCTTGAGGTCCCAAAAGCATCACCAACTCCCTCTGTCCTGCGTGCTGTGTTCAGCACTGGCAGTGGAGGCCACTGTCAGAGTTGGCAGCAAGGGGCACTGTCAGAGCTGGAGCATTTTCATCCTCAAAGCTTTAACAAACTCCAGCTCATGCTGCCTAGGAGCCCACCAAGATGTGGCCCCCAAAGTCCTTCAGCAGCGGCCCCAGTGCCCCATGAGCAGGATGCCAGAAGGGCTCTCTCAGCCAGGTGGGTTTGGTCTGCTAGGAGAAGCCAGGAGAGAACACCTGAAACTTATTTTGGGATGCTCCTTTGGGCTTGTAAACCCAATCTCTAACCCCAAGAGGGGCAGTCAGGGAAGTGAGGGGGTGCAGCAGGGTCAGCAGCAGCAGAGACCTTTACAAAATAAAATTAAAATTAATTAAAAAAAAAATAAATAAAATCTTTCCTTGCTACATGGCACAGTGCAGAGCAAGAGGGAGTTGGAGGCAGGAGTGACCCCAGTGCTCTCCATCCCCATACATGCTGCCTGCAGGATTCTGGCATGGAGCAACCAGGGCAGAGATCCCTCTGAACAATTCTCGGAGGAAACAGAACATCCCTTCTCAGGATCAGTGCAGCAGCCCCCTGCCCTCACCCAGCACTGTCCTGTGGGATGAAAACGCTTCTATGAGCAGTATCTGTGTTTTTGAGCTGTAGTCAGGAGCAGTATCTGTGTTTTTGAGCTGCAGTCATGTGTGTGTTCGTGCTCCTGGCATGTGGCTGCATGCCTGCCCTCCTGCCCTGCCCCAGGTGAAAATAAATGAAGCATTGATCCCTGGGGAAGGTTCAGAGGGAAAGCAGAGGGTGTGCACTGGGACCAGCATGAGCCTGTCCTAGCAATGCAAATGGTGGAGCAGCCCTGCTCCAGGCAAGACCTAGGAGCCCTGGAGCTCCTGCCCAGCAGTGCTGTGACCTTTGGAGCAAAAGGAAGAACAATTGGTTTCCTCTGTTAGTGCACACAGCACTGGGGGTTGTGCTCAGGGCTTTTGTTGCAGTTCCTGTGCAGGAGTTGGTGACCACATCCCAGGACATCCCAGCAGCTCTTCCTCTCTGTGTGTGCCCCAGCTGCAGGCACTGGGGGCCTCTGAGGAGGGTGTAGAGGATATTAAAAAGCCAAGAAAGGCACAGGCCTGGCTCACCACAGTGACCTTAAAAGAGTGGGTGGGGGGCTTTGGCATCCCATTCCTGGTGGGATTAAGCCTGGGCATCAGTAGCCACCACGAGCATCCCCCGGTGACCGGCCAGGTCAAGGGTTCACTCCCCACATTGGGCTGTGGTGGAGAGCCAGGGTGGGGGATACCCAGTTGTGCTGGTTTCAGCTGGGGTAGAGTTAATTCTCTTCACAGCACTTCACAGCCACCTCATGCCTGTGCTGTGGAGAGAATTAACTCTGCCCCAGCTGACACCAGCACCGATTAGGGGAGGTGTACAGAGTACCCAAATGCTCCCATGACACTCTAACCTTTTTTGTTTTTCCTTTCTTTTGCGGACAGGCCATGAACTTGGTAAGTTGAGTCTGAAATTCCTTTTATTCCCCATTGCATTAGGCCCTCTTCAGTGCAGGGGCTAAAAACCCTTCACATCCCCAAGGTGGGAGGGCCACCAGCAGCAGCGGGAGGGGGCACTTTCCAGATCCATCAGCTTTTGCTCAGAGGATATTGGCAAGCTCCAAATGTTAATTAACATTTGGGAGGGGGTGGGGGGATCCCTCTGCACAGGTCCCTTGGCTGGGCTGTGGGATTGGCTGCCGGCTTTGCAAAACCTGTCAGGCACGCTGGAATTGAGGGAGCTCAGTCTGCTCCTGTAACCCCTGGTTCCCTCCTGTCCCCCCTTTTCCCCTCAGGACCAGGTCTCGAAGGATAAGGCTCTGCAGAGCATGGCTTCCATGTCCTCGGCGCAGATTGTGTCGGCCAGTGTCCTGCAGAACAAGCTCAGCCCCCCACCTCCTCTTCCTCAGGCCGTCTTCTCTGCTGCCCCCAGGGTGAGGACAGCTCCATGCCCCCACGTGGGGACACCCCGGCCTGGTGGGGATACCATGGGGGCAGGGGAATGTTCAGCAGTCATTCTCAGCCATGGTGGCCATGCAGGGCTCCCTGCTGTTTGCAGCAGGTGAGGAGGGCAATGTTGGGAGTGGGGAGAGTCAGAAGCCACTGACTCTTCCCTGTGCTGTTTTCCCAGTTTTGGAGTGGGCCTATCCCAGGACAGCCTGGACCCTCTCAGGAGTAAGTACAGACCCCTCCACACCTGGCACCAGCAGGACCCCACCTCAGCAAGAGGCTGAGGCATCCTGAGCTTGGTAACCTGATGGTGCTTTTTCCTTTCCAGCATTAAACCGTTTGCACAACCAGCTTACCCCATCCAGCCACCCATGCCTCCATCACTAGCCAGTAAGTCATGTCCTTACCCCCTTGGAGGGAATCCAGTGTCCTTGATAGGTCATATTTGCCCTCTGTCCCTTCCCATGCACGGTGCCACCCACCTGTGTCTTCCCCATCCCTCCTGGTGAAAAAGCCTGGGTTGAAATCCAGCAGAAAGCTCCACAGTGAGCAGGACCGTATTGCTCCCAGCTGGATTTCCTCCAGTCCCTTTCCACCCAGTACATCCCGTGTTTTAACCACCCTGTGCTGGGCGATACAGGAGGGTGGGGGATGCAGTGGGGATAGCAGCACTGCATGGGGGGCTCACCCCAGTTCCTGGCTGCCCCATGTCCCCATGTCACTCCTCCTTGCCCCAGGTTACGAGCCCTTGGCTCCACTCCCGCCAGCTGCCTCAGCTGTGCCGGTCTGGCAGGACCGCACCATCGCCTCCACCAAGCTCCGGCTCCTCGAGTACTCCGCCTTCATGGAGGTGCCCCGGGATGCTGAAACGGTAACGGTCCCCTCTGCGTGCCTGCTCATCCCTGTGCCTGGTGGCACCTGGTTCTTGCTTGACCTGTCCCTGCTGCTGTCCCCATCCCACTCCCTACAGTACAGCAAACACCTCTTCGTGCACATCGGCCAGACGAACCCCTCGTACAGCGACCCGCTGCTGGAGGCCGTGGACATCCGCCAGATCTACGACAAGTTTCCTGAGAAGAAAGGTGGCCTCAAGGAGCTCTATGAGCGTGGGCCCCAGAACTCCTTCTTTCTCGTCAAATTTTGGGTATGCTGCTGGGAGGGTTAGGGTGGGGAGGGTCATCCTTGAGCCACAGGCTCATTGCAGCTCGGGCACTCCACTGGCAGAGTAGGAGCATCCTGGGCAGCTCTGGAAGCTGCTGTCCCTCATCCCCATCAAGAGCTGGGTGTGGTGGTGCCTCATGGGACCCTCTTTTCTCCAGGCGGATCTGAACAGCACGATCCAGGATGGGCCAGGGACCTTCTATGGTGTCAGCAGCCAGTACAGCAGTGCAGAGAACATGACCATCACAGTCTCCACCAAGGTGTGCTCCTTTGGGAAGCAGGTCGTGGAGAAGGTGGAGGTGAGTTCTGTGCCCCACTGCATCAGGAAGGGGTTGGAGTTGGTCCAGCTGGGATGGAGAAAGTCCCAGAGCTGGGTGTAGGACACATGGGTGCCTGTAGTGTGTTTATGGGTGGAGTGAAGAGGACATTGCCATGTCCCAGTTGGCCACCACCACTCATGGGACAGCTGCTCACGCTGGCTGTCCCCTGCAGACGGAGTATGCACGGCTGGAGAATGGCCGGTTCGTCTACCGCATCCACCGGTCTCCCATGTGCGAGTACATGATCAACTTCATCCACAAACTCAAGCATCTCCCAGAGAAGTACATGATGAATAGTGTCCTGGAGAATTTCACCATCCTGCAGGTACCTCCCCTCCTTTTCCAGGGGCTGTGTCCCACCAGGAGCACAGTTGCATCGACCCTGCTGGCCCCACACAGACCTGGGTGTACCTGAGCCCACACAGCCCCTGAATTCCAGGGAGCAGATCTTGGTGGTGCAAACAAAGTGGCTGTGCCCAAGCCTGGACAAGTCTACCAGACAATGGGGAGCAAAATTTTCATGGTGCAATTAAATTGGCTGTGCCTGAGTTTGACTGTTTGACTTCACCAAATAGTCTGTAGCAGTTTTTGGTAGTGCAAATGCAGTGGCTGGGCCTGAGCCAATGCAACCTCCCCCAAACAAATTTTTGGTGGTGCACTTCAGGCTTTTCCTGAGCCTGTGCAACATGTCCAAAACTGGGTAGTAAATCTTGATGGTGCAATTAAATTTGCTGTGCTACTGACTGTGTGACCCCACAAACCATGGGTAGCAAATCTTTTTGTGGTGCGAAGTGGCTGTGCTTGAGCCCAGGTAACAGCATCTGCCCACGGGCATAGCACTCCCCTAACACACTCTGCTCTGCTACAGGTTGTTACGAACAGGGATACCCAGGAAACCTTGCTCTGCATTGCCTTCGTTTTCGAGGTCTCCACCAGTGAGCACGGCGCCCAGCACCACGTGTACAAGTTGGTCAAGGACTAGGGGCCCTTGAGGACGGGCAGGGGCACAAGGGGCGTGCAGGGGAGGGAGGGGGAGCCGTGCAGAAAAGCCACCCGTGCCTGTTGCCTTGTGAGGAGTCATTTGAAGACAGGTGGAAAAGGAGGAGGAAGAAAAACAATAGCCAAAAAAGACTGACTTGTGATCGCAGATGTTTTCTACTTAGGAACAATTATTTTTTTTTTTAATAAATACATAAAATTACCAAAAAAAAACCAAAAAAAATAAGAATGGGAAAGGAAGCGTAGGGAGAAAGGAAACCCACATCCAGCACTGGAGAGGGACAGAGCAGCCCTTGGTGTTGCTGATGAAGGCCAGGATCCCACCGTGCCAGCAGCAGCAGCAGCAGCGGGACATCGGAGCGGAGAACAACCCCTCCTTTCATCCCCAGCTGAAGTGGCCCCGGTCCTGCACGGAGAGGAGCGAGCACTGACGGTCAGGAGGACACAGCACTGTGCCAGGTCTGAGACTGATGGGCATTGCACTGCCAGCAGTGCATGGCACAGTCCGTGGGGACACACGGCAGGGCAGGGTGCAGCAGGAGGACGCTGCCACCTCACCAGGGATGCTCCTTCTCCATGCTGAGCTGGGGCACTGGAAACCAGTGGGAGTGAAGGTATGTTTGCATTGACAATGCAAACCATGGGGTTTTATGGCTCTTTTTTTTTTTTCCCCTTTTTTTTTTTAAATGAAAGTGCTTTTTAATACTCTTTGAAAAGACACAATGTATGTAATCAGACTGATTGCCCTCTGAAGTGCCCAGGTGCTCCCCTCCCACCCTGCACGGGAAGTGTTTTGTTTAGGGAAAGGTTTGGGATGTCTCCATCTCTGGCTGGGTTTTGTGGGGGATCCCCCGAGCCCTGTGTGCGCTTTCAGGAATTGCACTTGGGGGTGGCCAAGGCTCAGTGTCCCCACTGTGGTCACTTGCTGAGGAGTCATGAGTAAAGAGCAGTGAGGGCAGATTTGCGTGATTTATTTTATATATGTACATTTTCCTTGTTTCGTTTTTTGTTGTTGTTGCTCCTTCACCTTTTTTTGCCTTTTTCTGTTCCAAACTGCTCCGTCCACTCTCCTGCATCCTGTGGGAAGTGGCCAGGAAGGTGACTTGTGCAGGGAAAGATATATTGAGCAATGCAGGGCCAAGCTGTCAGTGTGCAGAGTCTGGGACAGAAACAGAGAGGGGACAGAGAACAGGAGGGGTGCCAGGATAAGGGACAGGGTCAGCTTGGAGGTATTTTTGTGGCTGCATCCCAAAGTAAGCCAAGGCAGAGTGCCCAGTCCTGAGGCTACAACTGCAAGGGCAGAGTCTGGGGAAAGCAACTCCAGGGTGCAGGAGAGACAGAGGTGGCAGGGAGCAGGGTGGCAGGAGGCTGGCAGGGGGACAGAGAGCTGAGGTGGCCAGGTCTGGGTGGGTTTCTCAGGTTGGCAGGGGAGTGAGAGCAGTGGAAAGGAGGGCAGGAGTGTTTTGAGGGGCACTGCAGCCCTTTTGGGAGGGGGACAGGACAGGTTTAGGCTCAATGCTGCCAGTGCAAGGAGCAGGGATAGCCCCAGAGCTCAGGAAAGCACCTTGGCTGCCACCTTGATGCCACTTGTCCTGTGAAGGCATGGGGACTTCGACCTCTTGGTGCTGGGAAAAGCCGCCCATCCCTGTGGGATGGGGCAGAGCCACCCCAGCCCCTGCCAGGCAAAGGGCTCAGTGGTGGGACTGGACTGAGGTGGCTGCTGTGAGCAGGGGGAAGAGGAAAAGAGAGAGGGAAAAATCCTAGGCCAGACACTGGCAAACCATGCCAGGGCTGTGCTGGGGCTCTCTGGCCAAGTTCTCATATGTAGCATGTTTGTTGTTTTGTAGCTTTTTGGGTTTGGTTTTTCTTTTTTTTTTTTTTTTTTTTTTTTTTTTTCCCTGATCTAAAACTTTGGGAATGAAAACTCAAAGCTCCCTCACCATAAAACACAGGTGTGCCCCACTCCCAGCCCTGACAGGGGACGAAGCTCCTCATTAACTGGACCGGTTTGTGCCTCCACCTCTCCATCCCTCCCTCCCTCCTGCCTGCACCGAGCCCAAGGCTCACACTGCACCCCACGCACACAGACTGGTGCCCCCAGCAGCCCTGGCTGGGGTTTAGGGTTTTGGTCATGATCCCAGAGACACTTTCTCAACTCCCCCAGCCCCTCCATTCTCCTCCAGTGTATTTATGAATTTCACATGAAGTACTGTTTTATTTTTTTAAAGACTTTGTAAAGCTTACCAGGGTTACAATCACCATTTTTAGAGCTGCGTCAGTCCACAATGTTAAAAGTCCATTTTTTTATGTATTATATTTTTTGTGTATTTTTTTTAATCCAGCTGTGATGGGTTGTATCATATATTTGTTGTGTTTACTGTATCTGTCCGACTTCGAAGAGAGGAGACTCTGGAGCTCCGAGAAAACTACGGTCTGCTGAAAAAAAAAAACATTAAAATTATTTGTTCATGGGTTGGCTCAAGCAGTTCTGAAGTTCATATTTTATTTATTGGGGATTTCTTCAACAAGAAAGAGAGAGCTGCCATGTCCCATGTAACCCCTTGGTTGGGTAACACTTCTCCTGGGATCCAAATTCTGGCTCCCAGGATGATGCATCCAGCTGTGTTTTGTTCTAGTGTGCAAGAGTAGGGTACAAGAGAACCCCTCTATGGTCAGTGGGCTGGGGGGGACGTGCCACCATGGTGTCCATCCCCATGGATGGACATGGAGCCCTGACCCGTCCTTCCTCTTGGGCAGCTCCAGCACGGGGTTCTGCTTTAAGTCTGTCGGTCTCGTCATTATCACTGCTGCAGGGTTTGCATGGGAGAGGTTGGGTTGGCCACGGCAGATGCTTCCCTGTGCTTCCCCGCAGTACCGCCGGGTTCAGGAACACCTTTTAGGCGCCCACAGGGTGGCAGAGAGCTGGTGTGTCCCCCCACTCCCCAGCACCCCTCCAAGCCCTGCTGGCGGTGCCCCGGCACTCACACCCCGTGTGCCCGTACCGCTCTGTTCCTCCCGCACGCCCGGCGCGCCCCGTTACACCCACCACACCCTGCCGCAGCCTCTGCCCCCTTCCCGGCCCCATTTCCCGCTTCTGCCCCGGCCCCGGTCCTGCCCCTTCCGCCCCGCTCCGCTGCCTGCTGGGANTCCGCCTGCAACTCCGCTCCCCCTGCAGCCCCACTCCTCCGTTTTCCCCCTCTCCTCCTGCAGCTCCGATGCTCCCATTACTCCGCTCCTCCGCTTCCCCGCTGCCGGCCCCGTTCTCCCTGCAGCATCCATGCTCCCGTTTCCCCGCTCCTGTTTCCCCGCTCCCCCGCTTGCCCCGCTCCTGTCCCCGCTCCCCTGTTGTTTCCCCGCTCTCCTGTTTCCCCTCTCCCCGCTCCTATCCCCGCTCCACCTGTTGCCGCTGTCCCGCTCCTTGTCCCGCTGCTGTCCCCGCCGCATCGCTCGGGGAGCGCCCCTGGGGGCTCAGGACTTGGTGGAAGCCGCCGGCATTAATTAATTAGCGCGGCTCAGGAACGGGATGAGCCGCTCGGCAAACCCGGCAGAGCCCGCCTGCCCGCACCGGCATCCTGCAACTGCGGGCTTGCTCTTTTTAGCTTCTAAACCGGAAACTGGACAATTTCACGGGGTCTGGCAGGGGAGAAGCGGAGCTGGCGGAGCTCTGGGGCTGCTCCGGAGCTGCTGGCTCCGCCGGGGTTTGGAGTTCTGGAAAGGATCCCTGGGCTTCCCGAATGGGGAGGTGTGTGACGATGTCCCATGGCCATGCCTCGCAGCTCCACTTTGAAACCAGCCTGAAAGTCCATCCTGGAACGCAGCTCACTGACAGGCAGAGTGGTTGAGCCCTGTACCCCATTCCTGGCCCATCGGTGTCCCCACACACTGGATGTAGGGTCACATGGGTGGTTTGGGTACATGGATCCCTGTATGGGGGCCGTTTAGGATTCGGGGTGGTCCTTGCGTGCAGGAAAGGAGGGGAAAACCTCGGGTACCCTGAGCACTCTTCCTTCCTTCCTTCCTTCCTTCCTGCCCTTTGCCTTGACTCAGCCCTTCCGTCTTCCCAGCTTGGCTCCTTGGCTCTGTCCTGCAGCCTGCACTGGCTCCTGGGGGCTGTCGCTCCAGCCCACTCCCTGCAGGTCCCCCCTCTGCCCGGTGTTGCCCGCTGACCCCCGCAAAGCCCCAACAAGTGATGGAGGGAGAGCCCACCATGCGCCTCCGGATCTTCGACCTCAACTGCTGGTGAGTCCAGACTTGACCAGGTCCATGCCAGGATGTGTGGGTGGAGATGGGAGCACCACACTGGGAGAGCACCTTCATTTTGGGGTCACACCACTCTCCCAGCCCCAAAGGGTCATGAGGTGCTTGGCTGGATGATGCTTTCTGTCCCCTCTGTGTTTGTTAGCCCCAGAAAAAAACCCTCATTTGCACCCCAAGCAAAGAATGAGCTGCCTCAGTTCTGCAGGCAGGAGAAGCTGTCCCCCAAATATCCCTCTTGTCCCCATGTCCTCACATGGCCCTTTCCCCTTCCTGTCTTCCATCTGCATCCTGCAGTACTGGTACTGGAGCCCTCTTTCTCTACCTCGTTTCGGGTCACAATGGGCTCCAAGAGCCCCCATCACTCTGTCCCCACCAGGCTTTGACTGTCACCCCTGTCTGGCAGGGCCATTCGCTACTTGAGCAAACGGCGGCAGGAGCGCGTCCGGCTCATAGGGGACACGCTGCGCCAGGAGCACTTTGACCTGGTGCTGCTCCAGGAGGTGAGGGCAGTTTGTGAGCCAGCTGCACCCATTCCCAGCCTGGGAGATGAGCGTGACTATTCTCTATCCCACTGTTCTGCAGGTGTGGAGTGAGCAGGACTACAGTGGCCTGAAGGTGAAACTAGCAGGCTCTTACCCCTTCTCCCATTACTTCCGCAGGTGAGAAGGGCAAGGTCAGCCCCTTGGGGCTGTCTGTGGGGCAGTGCCAGTGCTGTGCCAAGTCCTTGGGGTTTGTCCCTTGCAGAGACCACTACAGGTCCTTTAGGCCACCTCTGTCACTGTGGACAACCCCATGTCTGGGCAGTGGGATGCTCACAGGAGCACGCTGGGGTCTGGGGAGTCCTCCTGGCTCAGGGCTAGGGGGAGGCAGAGGTTTTGGGAACCACATCTCCTCACTGTGCTTTTTCCCTCCCACAGTGGGGTGATCGGCAGTGGCCTCTGCATCTTCTCCAGGTTCCCTATTCTGGACACGCTCCTCTTCCAGTACTCACTGAATGGGTACCCCTACATGGTCAGTGAGGGGGCGCATGTGGCACCATGGTGTCCATCCCCACACAGCCTCAGGAGCCCTGACCTGTCCTTCTTCCCCTTGGGCAGCTCCAACACGGGGACTGGTTCTGCGGCAAGTCTGTCGGTCTCGTCATAATGAAGATCTCAGGGATCATCTTCAACGTCTACGTCACCCATGTGAGCATCCCAGGGAAGAGCCCAGCATGGGGGGAGCAATGGGGAGGAGGGGAATGAGTGGCCATACCCCTCCTTTACTGTCCCCTTGCTTTAGCCATTGCTCTCTGCTCTGGACTATTCACTGATTTAATAAAATATTGCTCACGGCAGGGACCCATAATCTGGTTGTGAATTGGGGTGAGCATCCCAGGCTCTCCTCGGTGGGGGTGACATAAAGACAGAGGCGTTGGCAGTGACTGTTTGGAGAGGTTTGGGTGGTTTGCAGGGGGTCTGGGAGCAGGGCAGGTGTCAGCATGGGGATCGCATCCCCTTTCCTTTCCCTCTCTCTCCAGCTGCACGCTGAGTACTGCCGGGACAAGGATGCCTACCTGCCCCACCGCCTGGTGCAGGCCTGGGAGCTGGCACAGTTCATCCGGTGAGCAGCTGCGGGGTGTCCCCCTGCAGGTCCCCAGCATGTGTGTGGTCACCCCTGCCCCTAGGGCTTGCACTGCAGAGAGCTCTCATTTGCACCAGTCCCAGTCAGGAATAAGGTGGAGGAGCACTGGGCAGGTCCCATCACTCCAGTCTGGCGCAGGGCAGAACAGCCACCCCTGTCCCCACAGACACACCTCAAAGGCAGCAGACGTGGTGCTGCTGGGAGGGGACCTGAACATGCACCCCGAAGATGTGGGAATCCGGCTGCTGCGCGGCTGGACGGGACTGCAGGACGCCTTTGCTGAGGCCACACGCTTTGAGGTGAGCTGAGGGGCTGAGTGGGGTCCCAGGCACACCAAGAGTCCCCGACCCACCCAGGCTCTTGTCTCAGGGCTGTAAGAATGGCTGCACCCTTGTCCCTGACAACTGCTTCACTGACAAGTCAGAGCTGCTGCCCTTCCCGCTGGGCATCCGCATTGACTACATCCTCTACAAGGTAACGGGGAGCATTTGCCCACCAGCCCTGAGTGGTGGGGATGAAGCACTGATGTGACCCCTTATCCCCTCACCCAGGCCATCTCCAGCTTCACAGTGAAGTGTGAAGAGCTGAAGACCACCACAGGGCCAGCCCCAGGCATGGGTATCCCCTTCTCAGACCACGAAGCCGTGATGGCAACACTGCACATCCAGAGGCAGGGACGGCCTGTGGGTGCCACCCTCGGCACAGCTGGTAAGTCGGGGGGCTGCTGCCAGCATCCACTGTGTGCTGGGGGGCTGGTGGATGGACTGGTGGAGTTGGGTGGAGCTCTTTGGGGATGTTGTGGTGCTGCTTGTGGAGCACTGCAGAGCTGTGGGGATGGGGAGAAGGGTATTGGGGTGGTATGGGGGGGTATAGGGATGGTATATGGGGAGTCCAACCCTGCTGAGAGCCCCTGTCCCCACAGACCTGGCACTGGCAGACGTGGTGACAGAGGCACAGACAGAGGTGGGCATGGGGCTGCAGGCAGCGCAGCGGCAGCGCTACTCCTGGGGCAGGATGGCCGTGCTGGCCCTGCTGCTGCTGGTGCTCCAGGCTGCAGCTGTGCTGGGCACACTGGCCGGACTGGGCACACAGCAGCCCTTCCCCAAGCTCTCCTTCTGCCTGCTGGCCTTCCTTGCCCTTGGTGTCCTCATCCTTGCCACCGGTCTCCACCTGTTTCACACCATGGAGGTGAAGATACTGCACGGCACCAAGGACCAGATGCGGATGGCACTGCGGGCCCTGCAGGAGCGTCCCAGTGAAGGCTGAGCTGAGGCTGTGGGTGTCCCACTATGTCCCCTTGGCCCCACCATGTCCCCTTTTTCATCCTTGTTTTTAGCTGACTTCAGGTTTTAAGCGAGCAGCACTGCAGCCAATGCAGTAGTGCAGGTTTGACATCTGCTTCTGGGTGAAATTAAGATTTTTGGGGCCGATTTATTGCATTGACTCCTGTGAGAACCATGATGGAGGCAGATTTTTATTGCTGTCTTTTTAAATACACTCTTTTGTACACGGAGGGACCCACTGGCCTAGCTGGAAGGCTCGAGATGCTGGGGCTCCCCTTGCCTGGGGTGGCCTCAAAGTTTACACTGGTGGCTGTTCTGGCAACCAGTCCTGACTCTGATGGAAAATAAAGGCGATATTTTAACCTTTGGCATGGAGTCAGGGGGGCTTTATTTGAAGGGAGGGGGTTTGCAGCAGGATTGTAGGGCTGGTGGCAGGATGAGGGCTGAGCACAGGGTGGTGCTGCTAACAGAAGAACCTACACCTGGGACCCCCATCCCAATACATCTGGGGCTGCCATGAGCACCATTTGGCCACAGAGGCCACCTTGCAACAGCCAGGGACTCCAGGGGTGTCTGATGTCTGTGCAAAAGCCAGTGTGGCATCACCAAGCAGAAGAAATCCCAAAGGGGCAAGGAGGGCATAGCCCCCTGGTGTCCCTTGTCCTCTGTGTTAGAGTGCTGGCCCTGAGCACAATTCCTTAGGAGCTACTGGATAAAAAAGCCTTCCATGGCCTAAGGGGTTCATGGTAGGGTTCTGACCCTGGTTTCTTGCAGAATCTCGGAACAGTGTGGACGTGGCAGAGCGGCTGGATCAGCCCAGTCTGTCATGGGCCCCAGCTTGTACAGCCAGATGTCCCTTGAGATGGACAGGCTGGGATGGATGCCCTCAGCTGGGAAGGATGTCCCAGGGTGGTTTCAAGGGACCATTCCGGAAGGTGCCCCTGCACATATGGCATCTGCCCTGTGGCCTGCCTTTGGTGGCCAGTCCCTTGCTGCTGGGAGCCACCACAGCCCACTTCTGCACTCCCCTGTGAGTCTGGTTTTGCAGCAAGCACAAGGCAAAGGCAATCCAGCCATGCACAGGAACACCCTCTCAGCACCCCAAAGCTGAGTGCTTCTTGGTGTCTCCTCATGTGGGCATCCACCAGCAGGTGGATGGTCTGGCCTCTCCGTGACAGACTTTGGCAAGCAGGGAGCTGGATTTGCTGTGGCAGCAGCAGGCAGCTGTGGGCAGCTGGGGCATCACCACCTCCAGAGGTAGCTCAGAGTAAGGTTCAGCCCAAGACTCACACACACACACTCTGCTTGTCCCCCGGGGAGGATCCGCTGGCTCTGGGGCTATGTGGATCAAGCCCGCAGCTCGCTGAGCCGCTTCTCCTCCTGCAACTGGATGAGGACGTTCCGCTTATTCACCACCTCCACCAGCTGCTTCAGGATCTCCTGCTCAGCTTTCTCATCCTCAGCTGTCTTCAGGGTATCTGTGGGTGCAGGGGGCCAGAGCTGAGCTGGGAAGGCCACAAGCCCATACCTGCTCCCGTCACCATGCAAAGGGATCCTCTCCCTAGCATGTGCTGGCACTCACCCTCCTTGTTCATGTAACTCCGGAGCTTCTCGTCAAGCTGGCACTGCTGCTCCTCCAGCTTCAGTTCCTGCACCCTGTGGGAAGGAAAAGGGTGTGCTGGGTACTGGGTTCACAGGGGACTGGGGTGAGTCCCACACCAACCAGGGAGCGTCCCCCAAGCCTTACGCAATCATGAGGTCCGACTCCTCGGTCATCAGATTGTTCTTCTTCTGGACCAGATACAGCAGCTGGTTTGTCCACTGTGTCTGCTGGTCAGCCGGGCTCTCTGCAGGACAGGGGAGTGGTGAGCAGGATGCAGACCCCCACTGCAGGGTCACAGTGCTCTGTCCACCCTGGTCTTACCATTCTCATCCCGGAGTAACTTCTCCAACTTGATGCCCTGCTGCTCCAGTTCCCGGAAAGTCACCTCAATCTCCTCCAGCCGCCTCTGGATGGCCTGTAAGAGAAGGGCAGCACTCACCTGCAGGCCAGCACCTGCCAGCATGTGGCCACCAGCAGCAGGACAGAGGGAACAGGGTACAGTGCCTCGCTGGGGGGCTGGCTCTCCCCTGTGGGTTACCTGGGCTCTGCAGAACCTCTTCATCTGGGATTCCCTGGCCCGGCGGGCCAATGTGCGCTTCCAGGTGGGGTATTTCTCCTCTTCCCTGGGGTCTGGGTACTGTGAAAGGATGGTGGCATGGCAAGGGGGTCAGTCCCTGCACCAGGCACTTCCTGCCTTGGCACCACAGCTGAGCCCAATGCCTCTGAGAGAGGAGCAAGAGCTCCAGCTATCCCTGTGCTGGTGGTGCCACCATCACTTGGGAAAAATCCTCACCAGCTCTTTCATAATGCCAAGACCTGTGCCTTCCTCCTCCTCTTTCTCCTCCTCCTCACTGTCACTCTCTTCCAAATCTGCCCAAGAAAAGAGCTGTTTCAGGCTGGTTCCTCATGAGCAAGATGTGGGATACAAAAGGGTCCTGGAGTGACTGAGAGCTCTGCTCATCTGGAGACTCAAGTTTGTACCACCCACCTTTCTCCATGTCAGTTTTCTCCTCCTCCTCCTTCCTGACGCCTTGTCCTTGCCACAGGGCAGGGAGGGCCTCAGGTGCTGCTTGGAGATGCAGACGATCTGGCTTCAGTGGAGGCTCGGGCTCTGCTTCACCAGTGAGGTTCAGCGTGGATAGACTGAGCTTCTCCAGTGGTGTAAGGATGATCTTCCTCCTGCCCCCACTCTCCTCACCCTCCTCTGCTGCCTCTTGGGGCTCCACTCTGGGAACCTCCTCTTCCCTCACATCCCCCCCAGGCTGTGCCAGCAGCTCCTGCTCCTCCATGTCACCAACATCTGCAGTGTCCTCAATTTCCCCAGGCTCTTCCCCTGCCTGTGGGGCTGCTGGAGTGGGCTGAAGTGGACTGGGTGCCCACTCCATGGGGGACACACATGAGCATCCAGCATCTGAGGGTGGGTGGGCAGCAGCATCAACATCCTACAGCAGAGCCAGAGCAGAGGGGTGATGCAGCACAGGGCCACACCCAACCATCCCCCTCCACATTTTGCCTTTCCTCCATCACCTATAGGGATTTAGGGTGATTTACCCCATCAAGCAGTGCTGAAGCCTCATCCCGGGGCAGGTCTGTGCTGGGTGGATTGGGGTAGTGCAGCGAGCAGTAAAAATGACCTGGGCGAAGGGGGGGCGAGCTCATGTGACAACCTGCAAGGTGGAGAAGTCGTGCCCCAAGCATTCCCTCTCCCCAGAAGCCACCTCACCATCCTCCTCGTTGAAGGCATAGTCACCCAGGCGCAGGGTGGCCCCGCAGCGCTGGCACTGGAAGCAGCCGCGGTGGAAGAAGCGTCCCTCGGCGCTGGCTCGCTCCAGGATGTAGACACGGCGGCCACAGATGTAGCAGGCATCACTGTTCTCCCCTGTCCTCTCCCTCGGAGGCTGCAGGGGGAAAGGACAGTCTGGGGTGGCACTGGGGGCCTGGCACCTGCCCTGCCCTGTGGCTGTGCCAGCAGCCATGGGGGCACAGGGCAGGGCTTTGCCCCTCTCACAGCGCTGAGTCTGGGTGCTTGAGATGGGCGAGGGAGCGGCAAGTCTTGGCTCCAGAAAACCAGTTGGGTCAGGAAACAGGCAGGGAGGAGCTGGGAACCTGTGGGCGTTTGCTTGTGCAGCTCTGGTCCCAGCCCTTGGCTTGGCTCTGCCAGCCCTTGGTGCTCCCCCAGTGCCCAGCTGCCCTGAGCTGGACCCTCCATCCCAAGGTGACACGAGGACCAACCTGCCCTGAGTCCATCACGCTGGTTTGTGGCACCTCGTGGGCACTGTCCGGAGTGTCTCCATCCAGCCCCGTGTCCTGCTACAAGTGACCCGAGGGGAGGGTCAGCCCCACACTCTTCCCCCCAGGACAGCTACACCCCAGCAGAGCCCCCCTTGGGGCACCTGGGGCAGACCCACCTCAGCGTCCCTGCAGCTCCTCTTGGCCTCAGTGTCCTTCTGGGCATTGTTCTGCAAATCCAAAGGGGGTGGTTAGGGGGAGGAGTGGGACAGGGTTTTGGTGTGTCATGAGGGTTTGGGTGAGGGTCCCTCACCTGGGCACGTTTGTGTGCCAGGTTCCGGCTCTTCTGCAGCTTGCTGAGGAAGAGGATAGCCCCTCGAGTGTGATGGGGAGACAGTGGCTTCTTGCTGACCTCCACCTCTGCACAGGGCATGGCCATTTTGGTGGGATCCACCCAACAAAGAGGAGAGCACCCAGCCAGCCCCAGTGCGGCTCAGGATGGGATAAATCCCCCCAAAATCTCACACCTGGAGAGCTCCTGAAAACTTGATAGAAGTGGCTGAGGTAGGTGATGAGGTCCAGATGGTCAGGCCCTGTCATGGTGGCCATCTCAGCACTGGAGAGGACAGGCTGGATGCCCAGCTCCTGCTCTGCTATGTCCAGCATAACCTGGTGGGTCTGAATGGCATCCTGGGGATCCACAGAGTCAAAGTCCCTGTGGGGAGACATGGCTGCCATCAGGGTGGGCTCTGCAGGGTGGAGGGTTCCAGGGGCTCCCAGGCACTCACACCAGGTCTGGACGGAAGCGGTGGATGAGGGCGCAGAGGGCCAAGCCACTGGTCCAGGAGGTGCTGAAGTTGGTCACGGCCACGCCAGGGTATCCAGCAGTGCTGGCCTGGCACCAGCTCAGCAGCTCTTCACAGACAGCTCCAGGGGCTGCTGGGGAGGCAGAGACAGGGGATGCCCCCCACCCCAGTCCACCTCCTGCTGCAGCATCTGTGCTTTGACAGGGAAGGGATCCCCAGGGGGGACCTGAGACACCCCCTGTCCCCCCACAACCATCCCTGCAAGTCTCAATAAATGTTGATAAAGCATTTGTCAATATTTCATGGCTCAGCATCAATGCAGGTTGGAGGAGCAAAGAAGGCAGAACCTTCAGAGAAGGCAGAGGGGGATTGTGTCCCCACGTGGGCCACAAGTAGAGGGGACAGAAACCATTGGTGTCACCAGGACAGCCTGCTGGACACAGGCCAGGGCGCAAGAAACAAGGATAGGGAGGAAAATCAGGGCAATGGCAGGGGATGGGGGGAAGGAATGGGGCAGGACTGGTTGCTCCTACCAATGCTGAGCCGGTTGTCACTCTTGCTCTTGTGGTCCACCTCCGCCATACCCACGAGGTAAAGGTCCTTGACCTGCCCACGGGGACATGCCAGTGGTGGGTCACTACCCGTACAGAGCCAATGACACCACGAAGGGAGCTGGCCCTGGCAAGAGGGACACCTGGACACCCCCGCACCACTCCCCAGACCCCTCTGCCATCCACAATGGGCAAAGCATTCAGTGTCCTGGGGATTAATATTGTCAGTCTCACACCCCCTGGGGACAGGGGACAGGGTAAATTAACATCACCCTGACAGCCAGGGAGGCTGGGCTGGCTGGCTGTCGCATGGCAGGACCTGGCCAGGTACCTGGCTGGCTTTGATGGCCTGCAGGTTGATATTGGAGTAGCGCGTGGCCGGGTCAATGCTGTACTGACTGATGTTCTTGTTGGTGTTGTCGGGGGATGTCTGAGAAAGGTGCTGGTAGATGCTCTCCCTGGGTGCAAGGGACAGGGCTGGCGTCACTGCTACCATCCTCAGGTGCTCTGGACCCAGCCCAGCAGGATGGGGACACTCACCTTTCAGCCAGCACCTCCAGCGGGGGTGTCCCAGCCGCCCACCGCCGCACCATCCATGCTGCGTCGAAGGCAGCAAGGAAGCCCCTGGCCACCCCGGTGCCCAGCGGCCAGAAGGGCTGCAAAGGGAAAGGCAGAGCTGGAGCTGGAGTTGCATGGCTGGTCAGGGCAGCTGGGAGGAGGCTGGGAGCTGCCAGGCTTGGCCGGGGATGAAAGAGGGAGCGGCAGCAGGACGCACACAGAGAGGATGGGTGGCTGTCTCCTTCCCAGCCAGCACAGCTGCGTCTGGGGAGAGGCTGGGCTACTCCTCCATCCTGAGCCAACCTCACATCTCCAGTGGGGCTGGAGAAGGGGATAACCTCCCCAAAACATGCCACTGCTGGGAGCCTACCCAAGGATCGGGGGCACTGGGCAATTTGGATAAGAAGCACTTACAGAGGGGAAATATATTGCAACCAATGCATGTTGCAGGGAGAGGGGAATGGGGGCATGAGGTGGTGCTGCAGGGGAAACTCTCACCTCCACCAAGCAGTCGCCCACCAGCCCCATGAGCAGACGGCTCCCGTTGTGCTCCCGCACCAGCGCTGCATTCTCCGAACGTGTCATGCAGGTGAAGTCAAACATGTCAACATCCGGCAGGTCCCGATGGTTGAGAGCAAACTCCAGCTCGGGCAGGCAGTAGTTGGTGGAGAAGTTGGCAGCTTCTTTGGCATAGCTAAGGAGGGCGTCCCGGTTCACATTCTCTGGGGACAGGAGGCTCTCAATGTCTGCTTTGTCCTGTGGGGATGGGGTGAAGCTGACTGGGATGTGGGAGGTGATGTTTGTCCCTCAGCCTGAGAGCAGCCAGCTCTAGGGTGCAGCTGTGCCACTGCACTCTCAGTACCCTGGAAGGATTTTTCCTGCAGAACAGGCAACAGCTGCTACAGCCTCTACCACCCCAGGGGTGTGCAGTCAAACCAGCATCCACAACTTGCATCTCACTTTCAAAGCTTTCAGTTGTTCATTGCTGTGAGATCCCAGGGCCAGATCCTGCCTTCTCACCTGGAGGATGACCCCTTTCTTGAGCAGGCTCTGCTTCTTGGCCGTCATGACGAAATAGTGAGTGTCATCCTTGTAGTACACTATGTTTTCCAGGTCAATGCCTGCTGACAGGGAAGGGGCTGAGCCAGGGAGGAACACAGGGTGCCCCAGCCCTGGGTTCAGACACCAAATGTCCCCTGCAGTGGGGCACCATGTGGGGACATGCACCCCATTACTGGGGACATGCTGGGGCTGAGCCCCCACCTCCCCCAGGAGGGGGCAGGAGTCCCCAGCGCCCCACACACAGGGGTTGGGGACCACAGGACCACTGACCCGTTTTGTTGTACAGGTTCTGGAAGAACTTCTGGTTGTAGATTCGGGCCACACCACTGATCTCAGCCACCTCCACCTCAGCCCGGCTGTGGCGGTTGATGAAGTTGGTGGTGATGCCAATGGCCAACTTCCCACGCGTCTCCTTCCGCTTGAACCCTGCAGGGGGGCAGAGGCATGAGCCCCCACCCAGCCCCCCATATTGGCCCTGGGGCTGCAGGGACTCCTGTTGTCACCTTCAGGGACAAATTTGCCACCGCCAGCTGAGATGAGGACGTCGAATTCATAGTGGGTGAGGGGAGAGGAACTGGGCTGCAGCACAGCATGCCAGCCACCTGCAGGGAGAGGGGTGGTCACAGATGTGCTGGTCCCAGGGAGCAGGGAAAGGGCTGCACCTCATGTCCCCCAAAATGACATGCCTTGGGCTAGCAGAGGGCTTGAGGGGCTCAGAGTGGCCACCCACAGCCCTGTCCTTGTCCCCAGGAGTGCCACCCAACCTGCAGAGATACCGTACCTGCCTTGCCCGTGGGGGGAGCAAGGCCCTCGAACCTCACATTGATGTGCACCTCCACCCCCAGGAGCAAAGCCACCTTCAGCAGGATCAGCTGGAGCTGTCGGATACCTGGGAGGGGAGAGAGGTGCTCAGGGCTGCACCCCTGGACTCCCCACAGTCAGGGACCCCAGAGCCTGGTCCCCCTGGAACTCACTGATATGGTCCAGTGTGCCAGTGCAAAAGCGCCCGTAGAACTTCTTGGCACCCAGCGCCCGCAGGTCATGGATGGTGAAGGGCCAGAGGTGCAGGACGTTGTTGCGGGAGAAGGAGTCGCGTTTCTCCAGCAGCACCACGCGGGCACCCAGCAGCGCCAGCTCAATGGCCTCCCGCAGCCCGCAGGGGCCAGCGCCCACCACCAGGCACTGCCACAGCACAGGACAGCAGTGGAGGGGGTGGCAGCCCCAGAGCATGGTCTGGGTGAACCCCCCAGCACTCCCAAAGGCAGCACCTCCCCGCTTGCGGGGCCTGGATCTGGCCCTCCTCAGTATTCCCCTTTTCTGCCTGATTCTCCCTGCAAACCGGGGTGCCCCCCCACCCCCTGAACCTGCAATGGCAGCAATTAAAGCACTGGATGAGACAAGGTGAGCGTCTGCTGCAGCCCTGACATTCAGTTTGGTCTCCTGACAGCTTCTGCACAGGGCTGAGACAACAGGGCACAGCAGTCAGGACAAAAGCCATCATCTGTGGGACAGGGAACATGTCCCATGGGGACATCCTACTTGGGATGCTCCTGTCTCCCAGAAAGGACTTGACAGCTCCCTCAGCCCTGCCATGGGATGTCCCCAGCGAGTGGCAGCTGGGAGGAGGAAGGACACTGCTGGCTGGGTAGCACTGAGGTGGCATCATGCCATGGGGATCTGAGCAGTGCTAATTAACATCCTGTCCCATAAAACTCCACCAACCTCCCATCTGGCACATCCTGCATCCTCCTGGGATGAGAGCTACAGTGTCCCAGGAGATGTTCTCTCCCTGGAGACAAGGACACAGGGCAAGGAGACACTCAAACCCCTCACCCCACATCACGGGTACCTTGGTGCCAGCACAGGCTGTGCCTTGGTCATAGTCCTTGTGCCCAGCTTTCTTATCCAGCTTGCTCCACAGGGCCTTGGCATTCCAGTAGTTGAGGGCAGCCTTGAGGCCGTGGTATAGCTGTAGCCCGCTGCCCTGCAGCCCAAGCTGCTGACGCAGCTCTACGAAGCAGCCCAGCACCTCTCGGCACTCCCCGGCACGCAGGAACCTCTCAAAGATGGCATGGGCTGGGTTGCCCAGCTCGTTGGCCGGCACACTCATCCCGTGTCACCCAGAAGGCTGGCAGAGGGACAGCCGAGGTCAGTAGGGAGGGGACCCTCCTGGATCCCCACCCCCAAGTGCATCCCATACCACACCTGGTGTCTCAGTGCCGGGTTTCCCAGCTGCAGGTGCTGTTGGGTGGCGATGACACTGACAAAATTGGCACTTTGTGGCAGCAGCTGATGGAACCGTCCCTGGATGCTGCACCCAGAGAACCACGGTGTCACCCTCCCACTGCAACCAGAGAGCCGTGGTGTCACCCTCCACGGTGGCGTCAGGAGAGGGGATGGGGAGGGCTGCAGCAGTAAGTGGCTTTCTCCATGCAGCAGGTACCTGCAACAGCCAAGAGCAGAGCGAGTTGTTTTGGAGCACAGATACCGCTTCCTTCCTCTGCAGCCTCTTGGCCTCGCTACGGGGATGGGAGGGATCTCCTGACTTTAGGAATCAGCCACACAGCTGCTGCAAAAACCAGCAAGACCAGCCCTGGGGCCGGAGGGAGCAGGGTTGGATCCATCCCACCAACTTGGCTTCTGCAGCTGGAGTCGGGTGACCTTTTCGTCCACCTCCCCTTCTACCACCCCTGGGGCGGGTGGAAGCAATTAGCACAGAGGAAGCACCGGCGAGGAAATCAAATAAAAGTCAAATCACCCTCCAAACAGCCTCATCATGCCACTGAAGCCGTGGGAGGAGGGGTGCAGCACATTCCCGCTAGGCATCCCCAAACCTCCTGGCATCTCCCAGGGGACCAGCTCTCCTTGCATCTGTCTCCCACTCCCAGCACTGCCCCGAGCACCAGCCTGTGCCCTCTTTCTTGCCAGCCCGAGCACGAGGAACAAAGTTTTGCTTTTTCCGGCCACTGCGGCCAAGGCCCGGGGCTGGGAAAGGCTCGGGAAGACAGAGAGCTCCCACCTTTGAACCACCGCTCTTTGCCCTCTGGCTCCTGAGTGTTATCGTGGCACACGGAAGGTGGCGGCCACCCCTGCAGTGGGACAAGGGTGCCATGAATAAATCGGCTGCCCTCAGGAGGAGAGGGCTGGGGGTGTGCGGAAAAAGGAGTTACTTAAGCTCTTAAATATTGGCTGGAAAGACCGAGTTCTAGCTGGATTTCAAGTTCAGTCTCACCCAGGACTTTCCCGACACCAGAACATGCCTTGCAAAGCAATTCTGCAGGTCACCTTTCCTCCAATCACTTCTGCAGGTCGCCTTCCCTTCCAGCATCACACCCAGGAAATCCGGTTATTTTAACCACTTCCTCCCTGGGCAGACATCGGATAAGGCTCCCAGCGGGGCACAGCAGGGGCTGGCACCTCCAGAGTGGCAGCGTGGGGACAGAGGACATGGCCTGTGCATTCATGACAGGCCTGTGAGACCTGAGGACAGATTTCTGCTCTTCCCCTGAGTGCTCCCAGCAGGACAGGATGAGCCTGGGGAAACTGAGGCAGCACTGCGAACCTCCCCAGAGAGTTTGCAGCGCTCCCACCCGTCCTTCTACCACAGAGGCTGCCCAGGCAGCAGTGTCCCGTGTAAATGGGCTTTCTTCCAGGAGCTCAAGTCACTGCACTGGCACCTGCCAAGGTCCACACAGCAGCCCCAGGGAGATGAGACAAAGGCAGCTGCTCAGGCTGGGAGCATCTACTCCAGCCTCAGCAGCTCTGAAAAAAGCCCATCTCCCAACCTTGATTCCCACTGGACATGATGCCAGAGGGAGCGTGTTGCCCAGGAAGGCTTTGCAGCCCCTACGCTTTGGCAGAGTCTCAGAGGAGCTAGAACAACAAGCCTTGTGTTACACAGTTTCCTACAGAAAGGATTATCCTGCCAGAACTCTGGTACACTCAAACCCCCCTGAGAACTGTGAGCAAGGTCAGAAACTCCTAGGAAAACTCAGTTCCTGCAGGCTTGATGCAAAACCCCAGCTTTCAGCCCACAAAGGCCAGTGGCAGTGGAGGAGGGCACAGCCTGAACCAGGCTGCCTCTGTCTCTGCTCCTTCCATCAAAGCCTTTTGCATTTCTTCTCTTAACACCGTTCCTGCAAGCAGGAGGGAGGAGGGGGGGTTGTAGCTAGCCCTGACTCATCTCATGCCGGCTTTGCTTGGCTGCAGAAATGCCTATGGGGACATCACCCGGGTCAGACATATGGGGAGCACCCCTGGAGCAGGGACACCCCATCCCGCCCTGCGGGTCAGGGTCTCCCTCTTGCCCTTGCAGGAGCAGCAGCCTCTTGGGAGAAGGTGGCGGAAGCTGCTCACGTCTCTTCCAGGCACATGGAAGCAGGGTGGGAAAGGACTCCAGAGCTAATGGAAGCTGGAAGGATTTCAGTAGATTGCCTCTCTGCTGCTGTGCTGGCTCCCAGCATGGCCAGGCTGCTCTGGGTTTGGGATCCAACCTGGACACCACAAGCCAGGCTGCCGAGCTGGGCTGGTCCCCAGGAGAGCCCTTCCAGCGAAAGGCCAGCGGGCAGGGAGGGTTTCCTGTGACAGCTTGGCCAAAGCCCTTGCTTTCAACCACCAGCTGAGCTGGGAGGGTGTCAGGAAAAGGTGAAGGCACTGGAAGCTCTTACAAACGTTTTTGTGTTCAGGAGAAATATCCCAGGTGTGGGCCTGGGCAGGGATACCACCCTGGCCAACGCTGCGGAAACTTGCCTTGGTTTGGGTGGGTTTTAATCCTTGGAGGGAGGGGAAAATCCCTGTCAGCTCCTCTGGTTTGAGGCAGGGATGTGGGTGCATGAGCACACCCCAGCTTTGCAAGGCCCCAGCATGCAGCTGTAGGGAGAAGGGCTGAGGAGAGGGGACAAACCTGCATTGCCCTTTGCTGAGGATCCACACACCACAGCCTGGCCACATTCCGGGGAGCCCTGGGCACAGACAACACTTAGGGAGGAGCAAACAAGCCCCCCTGTTTTTGCTGCTCAGCCTGTCCCCCCTGCCCAACACCACCCCATGGAGAGACCTGGCTCTTGCAACTGAATTTTGGTAAAAAGAGGAAATCTGGTCACGGCCAGGCTTCACACTCCACATCATTTTCCTCTTCCTGCTTCTCCTTTACCCCAAAGCACATCTGTGATAAAGACATCCTCATGATGATGCACAGAGCATCCCTCAAGGATCTTAGCAAAGCTCTTCCCACCCCATCCTACTCATGACTGGGAGCACTGGAGGTTTTGGGAATGGAGGAGAAGTAGGGACTGCCGTCTTTTCCCTCTGTCCCGAGGGCAGCAGAGGTCAGGAGCTGGAGGGGAAAAGCAGTGAGGATGGAGCAGGGACGCCGCTGCCCCCGGGAGAGGCTGTGGGGAGGGGTCAGCCGGAGGAAAAGCTCTACCTTGCCACGGAGCGTCCCAGGGACACGCAGGACATGGGATCGGAGAAGCTGAGCCCTCCCCAGCCCCGCAGAATCACCCGTCGGTTCTGTCCCCGCTGTGACAATGCAGCGATGCTCTCGGTGGGGCGGGCGGAGGGGACCGGCGGTCGGGATTGGCACCGAGCGGGGGGACACGGGGTTGGGGGGGCAGCAGAGCCCTGACACCGCCCCCCCCCCACGCCCAGGGATGCTCTGCCCATCCTCACCTTCCACTCACCTCCACAGCCCCTGGGTGGGGGAAACTGAGGCACGGACCGGGGCGTAGGGAGGGACCGTACAGCCCTGAGATAG